AATAAGATAAAAATAATAAGTTAGGACTTTTATCAAACTATCAGGGATATGAATCTTAAAAAAATCCTCAATACACTCTTGTGTCACTCAAAAAGATTAGGAAATCACTAAAGATGGTAGTATATTAAACTAGAATGGCTATTGCCAAAGATAAGAAGATTAGAAAGGCTTGAAACAAGACTAAGGACTAGAACGGTCCAAGCCTTCGATAGTCCAACTTGTTTAGAAGTAATATAAAAAATTTATAATTTTTTTTCATAAAATACTATCATAATATTATCTACAATCTATTATATATTAATGATGACTATTAATATATATATATATATATATTTATAGTAATAGAATATATTTTATTTTAATTATTTTAATTATTTAAATTTAAATAAAATATTTTATTGATAAAGGACTAGAACTGTGATAGAAAGGCTTGAAACAAGACTAAGGACTAGAACTGTGATAGATTTTGTATATGGTACAAAATGTGCCATCTTGGTAAAATGATCTACTATCACGAATATAGAGTCATAAGAACCTAAGATTGGAAGATCCGTGATGAAGTCCATAGAAACAGAAGACCATGGTTGTTCTGAAATGGTTGTCCTTGTAACAAGTTGGACTATCGAAGGCTTGGACCATTTTCAATTTCTGCACAAATCAATCCAATTGCATATCGTTTACATCTACCGGAGTCAATAAAAATCCATCTAGTATTCCACGTGTCTCTTCTTGAACCATATAAGATAGTGGACATACCAAGAAGACAACAAGCTCCACCTCTTCCTATAGAAGTGGACAATAATGAAGAATTTGAAGTAGAAGAAGTCTTAGATTCAAAGCGACGTCAAAATAAATTGAAATATCTTATCTATTGGCGCAGATATGATATTAGTAAATGTACATGGGAGCCAATAAAGAATCTTGCAAATGCAAAAGGGGGATAATGTCATGGACATACTCATGTAAGCTAGTAATTACATACACAAATAGGTGGAAGTAAGTAAAAGTAGGTAAAAGTAAGTTAATTCTATAATATTTAATATGGAAGCTTTTTAGAAGCTTCATAGACATTGCTTTGACTTCATAGGTGTCTTTAATTGACTTTTTGGATTAGAAACGTGGTCAACAAGTTGGCCATGTGCCACACATGTTGTTACCTTGAAGATCTAGCTAACTATGTGGCCCACACATAGAAAAACTTGTCTTGTAAGTCAAGGCATGTATCCTACAAAGTCAACACATATTGGAGGTCTTATAAAACGTCGCCACGTTGCCCCTAATTAGATAGTATATATAGAGACAAGAGTGAAGCCTTCTTCACTCTTATCAACTCTTTTTTTGCTTCTAGTCTAGTTTCAAGGGTCTCTAGTTTCTTTGTCTTTTGGCAATAACCATTCCAGTTTCTCTTTTAATATACATACTTGTTTATTTATATTTTGTTACCTTTCTTTGAGTGAAGGCTCACCTGTTTGAATTGCTTTTTCGTCGAGTTCTTGTCCTTGAAACCATCTTTATAGTTGTATATATAGATGTAAGAATGATATCATCTTCAATATTATTAAAATCTTTCTTGTATTTTAATCTTAATTCAAGGTTCTTTTCTTTTTTTATATTTGGCAACAACTATTATAGATATTTTTTGTCTTATATTTATCTATTCTTTGCTTACTTTTCAACGATATATAAGTGTATTATATTTCATATTTTTACTTAAATTCATGTCCTTCATTCAGATTTTAATAAAGTATTTTATGATCTTAGAATATTTTGTAAGTTTTATAGTTTCATATATATATATATATATATATATATATATATTTATTCAAATAAGAATTTAAAAAGATGAGTTTAGAAAAATCATACAATATTATTCTTTTAAATTGGTTCTAACATATTAAGTCTTTTTATCAATAACTTACTATAATTTTATTTAAAATTTTATATTTTTATAATATAAAACATATTATTTTTATTTTATTTTATTTTATATTAAAATTTAAAAAATATTTATCAATATTTTAAATTCTCTATTATTTTTGACATAATAACTATTCATTAAGAAAAAGAAAAAAAATATTTATAATCTATTAAGTTTATTGTTGAAATATTTGTATTAAATAATAATAAAATAAATATAATAGTATAATAAATACATTTATAATAATAAAGATTGAATGTTTAATTTTTTTTGAAGCTACCAACTTAAAAGTAATGTGTTATATGATTCTTATAAAATAATAGTTGTTTTCTTATTATTAATAGAAGGTCTAAAAAACCATACAAACAAGATTTCAACACATCAAACATATATAGATATTGATTTCTTGAATAGAGTATCAAAAAACAAAAATAAAATAAAATAAGATAAATTCATTGATCAACATCCAAAAAGTAAGAATAAAACTATTGTTTTTCAGAATTTCTTATTTTAAAAAAAAAATAATAATGGAAAAGATAATAATTCTTACTTTTCATACGAAGTGCTCAAAGTTTGACATAAGAGTCACAAAAAAAGATGATGGTTTCGTCTCGTTAGGAATACTTAGCGAGGGTTTGTGGAACGTCAAAGCTTGTCTTCCGCTCCGTCCCGCCGCTCCGGGATTTCGCAATTCGACCAGAAGAGGCCACTCGTCGCAAGGCTGCTGCCAAAAAAATGAACGATCGACAGTGTTTACTCGTACAGGCGGAAGCGCGGGGACACACACACAATCAGATTCATGCAAACAAACAATCAAACAACATTAAAAACGGGGGAGGGAGGGGAAAGAGAGGGGGCCAGCCACTTGGTGATCTGGTGGCGTGCAGCGCTTCGAAGCGGATCGCTCAGTGGCCAATGGATAAAACCATCCCATATTTCCTTAGTATTCTATTCCACGGATTGCTATTCCGGTGACTTCATTGAAACGGCGAACGCCTGCCTGGCCCTGAGGAGAAGGCAGCACTCTCAGCCTAGAGCTTCGAATCTGCCACCCCAGGATGCCCACTCTCCACTTCTGGCCTATCCGCTCCCACTAAATTTTTTGCCCCCCACTAATCCCTTGGATTCAAGCTCCGTATCAGATTTGCTGGGGTCGCCTTTGTGGATTCTGGGGCTCAGTATCCGTGTTCTAATTTGCGACAGAGCACTTCACCACTTCCTTCCTGTCCCCAACACACTTACCGTCGTGGGATTCTGGTCCATACCCCACTCTAACGAATTACTATTTCCATCCATTTGGAAGAGGGAGTGTATTTTACAACTTTTATACCGATCGAAATCGTCAAAACAGTGAATTGTACACGATCTCAACCACAGCAGCTTAAAAAATTCTACCTCACGGAATGTAAACAAACCCCCCAAAAAATAATCAAAACGAAACAAGAACAGAGGTACAAGAAGGTTACTACAACCAAACCCACCCTTTTCGAACAAATCCACCTCCATAAATTCTATTTTTGGGTAGAATGTGTAACAAATTCGAATAAATCACATGCTCATTTGCAAAACCTGCCGAGCAATGTCAAATAAGAACGTAAAAATGATCCACTCTTCACTTGCACAAGGCTCGGGCGGATAAAGAAGCCCATGCCTGTTCCCCGATGGGATCCCTCCTGGTTCTCACAGTCCCCAATACGAAGCCACGAGATAGCTTCCAAATGGCCAGATCCCAAAATCATCTTATATTTAAGATCTGGAGTGAGCGGCTTTCTATTGGCCCAACCCCTGGAGCCCAATTAACAAGGGCCAATCAGATGAGATGTCCAGCCATCCACATGTTGAATGGGAGGAAAAGGGGGGCTCAGTCCAATGGGCAGGTGGATGGACCAAGACCACAAAAATTGAGCTTCTTGGTGGGGCTGTCATGTGATTACTAAATGGACCTTGAGGGTCCAACGGTGGCGGTTTTAAAGGGGACAATAGTCCTTCCATATCATGAACACCCATTGTGATAAAATAAATGAAATACCAAACCTAAACTGTTCACCTTTTACGTTTACTGTTCACTGCGCACGGACTTGGAACTAAGGGAAGGGACAATAAGATTACAATGGATAAGGTGAGAAGGCTGCTGCTGGGTTCAGAAGGAGGCTTGGATCCAAAGCAATTTTATACAGGGACCTGTATCTTGGGCCTTGGTGGAGTTTCTCTATACTTTGTAGAGGGGAATTGCATCTAGTGGTGCAAAGCATTGATTCATCATCATTCATTAATGAGCTGTGTCTATCAAAAGTCCACATCAACCTCTCATCTGAGCCCACTCACCAAAATGTGTCTTAATGGACAATTCATGTGTGTGCAGCCACCATATGCTACCACACTTTCAAGTCAATAAACAAATTCTAAAATAAAATTACATATACACATATATATATATATATATATATATATATTGTTGCAAACTACTACACTCCTTTTGTGGAATGTGGAGAGGCTACTACCAGACATGGTAACCTGGGAACATGGGAACATGGGCCCCATCCCCCCACATGCAGTTGTGGAGCCCATCCCTCGATGTGGCCAAGTGTCGAGCAAGCCGGTGGCTACTCAATTTCTTCAATTGGCTTAGTTTTCCCCTGGCACCAAATTCTATTGCCTTACTACTGGTCACACATAATTTGCTTATAACTGCTGACTGTACTGTGTTCTATCTAACCCATGTAAAACTAAGCATGAATGAATGGCTTCGGGGAGGAGGAACTTTTTCACAAGAGGCTGCATACAGCCAAACGCAGGAATTTTACTTTAATAATTAATTTAATATCTGGAGAAGAATTGAGTAAATTTCACATACAAACGGTGAGTGGGTAGCTTTGAGCTTTTTCCGGCCAAACATATTTGTGAAAGTGGTGAAAGAGAATGAAAAAAGTAAAAGCTTAAGGCATATGAACGGTTTCACTTGTGCGAGAGGCGAGGGTGAGGGCGAGGGATGAAGTAATTCATCTACAGGATGATAATCGAGAGGATGAACGTGGTCTCCAGCCGTCTCTCTCTGGTACTCATTCCTCTGCCCAAGCTCCTCCCCCCTGACGAAATGTGCGCACTCTCTTGTGGTGCTGGTTCGTGGTTCTCGGAGCTTCCTCACGAAATTGCTTGGTTGTCGTTCTCGATGTTGTCGTCAGGTTTCTACGCTTGGTCGCAGAGGCTCGCAACAGTAGTGGTGGTTTGGTCCTTTCGCATTACCGAGATCCAGCATCCTACAATTCATCGTGTTATACCCTAATCTGTTGTCACAAATCTAGTGGGAGCCGTATCGTGGAGAGAGGTTTCACAGGTCTGCTTGGAGTTAGCTCAGGCGTGCATTGCAACTGGTAGTGGAGGAAGTAATTACTGAGTGTTTTAGTTGTACATGCCATACAGGATCTTATTTTCTTTTAGATTTTTTCAATTCTCCTTGGTCTCGTGTGTTCAGTTTTTGCACTGTCAAGTACAGATCTAGGCTGTCGTTAGTTAGAACAGAGGAGATTTTGCTCTTTAAACGGTGTGAATTCTCGACTCTGTGTATTTTTTTTTTGAAACTTTGGAAGCTTCAATATTGTGCTGGTCTTCATGCTTCGGTTTCCGTCGTCGGACACAGAACACAAAGCGGTTGTAGTTCTAGTGGTGCATTCTATTCATCTGTGCTTTCGCAAGTGTCGAGGGCGGCGAGACCATCCTGCTACAGGATCTTTCTCATTTAGTTAATGTTTCAATCTACTGCAGGCAGTTGAATAAGAAATAGGAAGCGACTACTGTCGCAGCGTCGGGGGACTCTGATTGATACTGGTCGGATAACCGCAATTCTGTCAAGGGTAGCGATGAACTTCGAGGGGCGAAAGTGTTAAAGAGTTATTTCGGGCCTGGGAGATGCCCGTCAGAAGGAGCTGTACTTGGTTCGTGATGCCAAGGTCTATCTCCTTATCGTGAAATTTAATCGTGGGCTGCGTTCGAAGCCGCCTCAAGAAGGTGGCGTATGTTATTTGTATGTCCTGGGAAGCTTGTCTGAACAACACATAGGCAGGTGCTCCCTCTACAGGTACTTATGAATACAAGCTCACACTATTTGCAAATACTGCATCAGAGCTTCTTCTCTGCAACCATGTTTTGCATAAATACATACGTATGTTTCATCCTTTGGAATTGAAGACTTCCTTTGTGAAATCACGTCGGGCTTGAGAATTTGCAAATGGAGAGGGCGCCGACCTCCAAGTCCTGAACATGAAATCTTTTTTCTGGTCTCTATCGGACCGTTCAAATCAGTTTGCACTCTGGGCAGCTACTGTGCTTAGTTAACGCACGCCCTGGCATAGTTCATTCATTCTATACAAATTTCAGAGTTGTGTACGTTATTCCTCAACGGTAGTGTAGACTATTTTTTGGGAGAGTTGCATTTACTCCTTTTCTTCTGTGAGTAGTGAATATGCTATGTGTGAAGTAGAGTTAGATGTATTCATTAAGCAATTACTGAGACGTGGGCGTTTACTGCTAAGATCTTTAGGAAGTTTGTTGCAAACATGAGGCTGGTGGACCACATTATTTAGCAAGTGTGTTTAACAGCAGTGCAATGCACTTCATGTGAAAAGGGAAGAAGCTGGATCTCCCAGAAGAGTCGTAATGCCAGGAGACTCTTCTCTTTAGACTCATCATACATATTGAAGCAAACGGGATTAATGGAGCTTGATATTGTGATTTTCGCTCTCTTGGAGAATTTGTAATTACTGGCTGGATTTGTCTCTCATGGTGCATTTCATGGAGATGATCCGACAAGGACTCTGAATTTCTGTTAATCTGAATGCGCTGCATCCGTGCAGATCTTGCATATAGACAGGCTATCTTATTAAGGAAGACATGAAGGTCTATTCGCCAGTTCTAGGAGTTGGCGGCTTAGGTGAATATATGGCGGATTCTTTTTTTTCGGAGGACGATTCCAGCTTAGTTTCCGGTAATTGCCACTTTTCGCTGTGTAATGCTGAAGAAACCAGCCTTTCGTTATTCGGAGGTGACAGCGATGATGTCAAAGCAGACTACAACTGGGAGAACTGCTTCGGCAGTTTGGAAGATGTCGACACCTTGCTTAGGTAAGCCGCATCTTCCGAGGTTGATGAACGCGATTTGTATTTTAACGACGTCACTGCTTCAAGTTTCTCTATTGTCATTCTGTTGTATGATATACCATTCACTTCCGGTGTTCATGCTGCCACCTGTAAATATCCTTGCATCGACTAGCAGTGTCTTCGAGATGATGGTAGGTTATGTTTAGTGCGTCTGGTATTGGGGATCCCATCTACTCGACTTTTTTTTTGGTAGTGCTTGTTCTCGTATTTGGTTACAGCTCTGATCCTGATTCTGCATTCGGACGGGTTTCTTCCAGTCCTGCAACTTTGCGGTGGGCTGATTCAGCATCACCTCTCGACCTGCAGTCGGAGAGTGAATTATCTGGTACAAAGTCATCATCGGTCATCGACGCTGAACCAGGTGGGAATGGAAAGGCAGACATCTTTGACTTGAAAATGGATTTCGTTCCTATCAACAATCTTTCTCTACCGTGTGGAGGAAATGGTCACAATGCGACTTTCCATGAAGCTGAATTTCAACCTGCAACTAGTTTTGAGAGCAGTTTGCATAACAGTCATGTCCCAGTTGAACAACAGTCCGATCTGCATTCTGGGGCCCAGGTTAATTCAAGCGATTGCTTAGATGATGAGAAGGTACTAGCTCAACGTACATTCTCACTAACCTCGTCATCTAATGCCTAGTTTTTCGTCAACATGAGGGCTACCATCTGTTGTATCTAAGGGGTTGGAATGCATGAACATAGGAAAGGTTCATTTTATAGTGACTTTTTGCCAGATTGGATGTGTCGGTCAGGTTTCAGATAGTTTTCGGTCTTTGGAGGTCAGTGCCTGGAACTCTTTGAAGTAGCCATGATATCCAGAAGACTGAGGTAGGCCACTTTTATTCTAAGTGTTTCTGGTTGTGCTGCTTAAAGGATTATCAGTGATCTTTTTTGCAGGATGTAGCTTGGCCTCAAACGGATTCTGGACCCGGCCCGAGTCTATTTATAGTTTATGCGCAGATCTGCTGTAGGGTTCTGAATTTGCATGAATAGGTTACTAAAGGATTTTTTTTGTTTTTGTTTTGTTTTTGATTGTCGTTGTTACAGATGATAGAAGTTCTCACCGGAGGCATGCCTACACCTGAAAGTAATGGCAATCTATCGATTGGGATGGATGTTCAAGAAGATGAGCCAGGACCATCTTCCGTCAGCATCTCCGATTCTGACAAGGTCAAAGTGGCTCAGGTGCGTTGACACTGGATGTTCTTGGTGCATTTGTAATAAGTGGAGGGGGATTGCGTTGAGCATGATCTAATGACTGTTAAGGCTTCATATCTTCGATTTATCGAATTACTTTTCTTCCACATGCAGTAGAGTGAGACGTTATCTATTTAAGGTAATATATCTGGGGCGATGTTATCAACTCTCTCCCTCTCGCTCTCTCTCTCGGTTTTCTCTCTGACAGGACAAAGACTTCGGTTGTGTCAGGTCCAGAGGGCGCGACGGCATGCCGTGACTCGCAAAAGGCTTGAAGAAAGAAGCAAGCGGCAGCTCAACTATCGTAAGAGTTTGCATGGTGCAGCTCATGGCGTTACACATGATCTGCAAGTGTTGCATCCGATGCATATGCCGGTACAGGCAGCGCATCTTCATCAATCACCTAATCCTATTATGCATACTTATTCTGTGAACCCTCCGACCTTATTACCTCTGCAGCCAATGCATCGGCCTGTGCCTCCTTACATGCACGTTGGATACAATCCTATGCATGTCATCCCACAGGCTGTACCACCCACTGCTCCTACCCAAGTGCCAGGGCAACGATTGTATATGGGTTACCAACAACCATGTGCTTTCCCACACTCATTGCCACCGCATCAGCAACATCAACTCCGGCCTTCTGGGGAGATTCAAGTTCGTCCGCCACCAAGTACTCCAACCATGACTCCGCGGGAGAAAATTGAAAAACTTAAGTATCTGCAGCAGATGCATGCACGGTTGGCAGTGGAGCAACAGGGGCAACAATTTGCTGCTCAAGGAATTTCTACACCGGATACAATTGGTCTGAGGAATGGGGTTACGCCTATGCCCACTATTCTAGCTGCGAAAGATCTGGATGTAGGTGTAAATCCCAGTGAATCTCAGATGCCAGTGTCGGAAAGTGATTTTGAGCCCTCCCTTTCGGTAGGTCAAACCAGCGTTGATGCCGCATCTGATGACGAAGGTGGCTCATTGGAAGCTGCAGTATTGGATGAACTCCAAAGTACTATTAAGACGGTATGAGCTCTAGGCTTATTAGTTGAGGAAGGTTGTTCATAATTTCGTAGCACAACTGATTCTCAAGTTTTCTTCATATTCTAGGACTGAGTGTATGTGCTTGTTGTTTAGTTTCACTTGTTTCAAAAAGTATTCTAGTGAAGTATTTTACAGTACTAGACTGACCAGACATGGATATTAACTAACTTCAATTTTTTTGTTTTTTTATTTATTTTAGCAGTTGGAACTTGGAACTAGAATGTGCATAAGGGATGCTTTGTATCGATTAGCAAGGAGTGCTATGAAGAGGCAAGCTTCAAGTGGACGACCAGCTGGGGATGACGGTGCCAAATGTCCTCAAATCTCTCAGGAGACTGATGCCACATCAACTGGACTTGAATCTTCTACTAACAGCGATCCTTCATCATCAAGCAGGGTTTCTAGGTTTGAATCGTCGCACATGATTCATTTATGTTAATGCATAGATTATGTACTGCATTGCTGATTGTTTTAGGCAGGCATTAGAACTTCTCACTTTCTGATCTGACGTAATCTCTTGTTTACAGAATGGATATGTCTGTGGTGGAAACACACACAAATCCTATTGATCGCACCATCGCACACTTGCTATTTCATAAAATGCATCCGCAACCGAATCCCACTCAAGTGGCACCTAGTGGTGGTAGCAACCGTGTCGGCTCCCAACAGACTAAACTTGCTGGACAAGTGAATGGTCATATTACCTGGAACCAGGGAAGTGCGTTACAAGGCAACCGGGCTGCACAACAAGCTCCTATGAACCCAGCTGGAGGGATTCGTCAGAGCACTGTTCCTAGCGTTGACGTGGTTTCAGTACCTTCGCTTCCGCCTTCTAAGGTTCTCATGGTATCTACACCTGTTTCAAGACCGCAGGACGGTTCAGTTCTAAGGACAATTGGATCTACTGAACAACAAAATGGCATGGCATTAGCAGGTGGTAAGGAAAGTGCATTGAGTGGGCACTTGCAGGGCAATGTGGCTGGAGCTAGTGGTATGAGTGGTGATCTTACTGCACCAATTGGGTCACAGTTGCGAAATGGAACAGATGGTGAATTACGAGCTGGATCAGCTCAAAATGCGGCAGGCTCATCACAAACGGAACTTTGCAAGATGAAAAATGGAATTCAGAGGGAGCGGCTGCAACATGCTGCATGTTTAAAAGAGCTTACTGAAGTCCTTGCTGAAGATCTGGATGTTGGATCCGCTCCTCTACTTGGAGAAGAAAGTGAGCTGGCTCAGTCTGGACCACCAGTGTCTACATCTAGCGGCACTGATGAATGTCAAGCTGGTGGTTTCTCAAATCTTGCCAAAAGCCTTGAAAACGAAGAGATGCCAATGGATGAGACGATTTGAAGAAAGTTCATACTGAGGCGCAGTAAACAAAAAATGAATAAAATTTTGAGGTTAGGTGATGCGGCTATTACACATTTAGGGATAGTGAATGTATGGGCGAGAGGGTCTACCACGCATGCGGAGCAGAATTTCTGGAATGAATCACAGCATTCGCCGGCCTTTCGCAACAATACTTGCTCGTTTTTCAGGTGACGTTTTACTTTTTACCTGTCCACACAACGCACTCCGTCTACAAAGTTCCGAGCGCCATTTTTATTTCCATATCTTGACTAATTTTTTCAGCACGTGATATCCAGCTATGAGCATATCTCGAAAAATAAGTGGACTGAACATAAATTGACACGTATATCTGGAAAATGTGATACGTGCCTAAAAGGTTTTAGTGACGTTCAGTTCTGGACTATGCCAAAATACTCAAGCTATTGCTGATCACCAATCAAATTAGGTTTTATTTTTTTGATTTTGCAGATTCAAGTCATTGGGAGCTGTATCGTGTTATTGTATAACCTTGGTGGCGTGGTTCAAGTTTGGTGAACAGTGTGTTCAGGAAGAGGAATGCCAGGTTAATGACGCTGGATCTCATAGTTGTCTATATGTGAAATAGGAATTAGTGACCCCTGAGTTTTAGGTACCACTTCACAATATTTGCAGGGTATCTGGAAGATGAGTGTTGAATTATTGCGGCGATCTTCATGTATACTGAATTTTGGTTTTTCAGGGTTTTGACGCCATAGTTAGTGGTAGGCAGTTGTGACAATTTGATTGATGAATTTCAACGAAACTTCATGTTGATCTGTACCGAATTGCTAGTTCTGAGTCATCGGTTTGTGTATACTATGGCAGCGTTATACTAAACAGAGTTTTCTAATTTTATTTGCAGAATTTTATGCGACTTACGTTTGCCATGTTTCTAAGATCTCCTCTTTGGTTTGATTTTTGCGTGAGCGGATTTGTCAATGCTCAACTCTTGAAGATGAAAGGGAGGATCTTCATGAGTTTCAATCCTGAACTTCGGTTCCCTTCTGGCAATTCCGATAGTGCACAAACTATTTGACTAAAAATATAAAGGTATATCATAACCTTTATACAAGGATTCGATCATAAACTAAACGCAATTTCAATTTTCAGAACAAGGTGTATTCCAGTATTCAAAACAATCTGCTGTATAATGGTCAGATTGTTATTCGTGACAAAGATTGTCCAAAAGAAGAAAATACAGAAATTTCTGATTCAATTTAACAAAGACAAGATTTTTTTGAGGAATGGGGACTAGTCCCTATCATTATTGTAAACAAGTTTTCAAATACGAGATGATGATGTTTAACAATGAGTAATGATTTCGTAATTCAAACAGATTTTTTTAAAAAACAATGCAACATCACATTTTACAAAAACATCTGTCGTTCTGTAAATTAAAAATAGTGAATCTGCACATCGTTTCTATTCCACTTCTTCTCTATTTACTAATCATCTATTTTAATTCACCAATCAAGCTATGTACGAGTAAATCATAAAAATCACTTTTGAAACCTATTTTTGGATGTTGGTTCTCACAAAATTGTAGCAATTGTTATTTGCATGTGTCACGTGTAAAATTGGAAAAATAGTGAAACATGAGATCCTTGAAGTACACTTCGAACAAACAATTGCATTAGTGTCTTAATTAACTTTGAAAACTATTTATCACAAGAACGTAATGTTGGAGAAATGCAATGCGAACTGAAGAAGACTGAACAAAGATGTAAAAGGTCAGAATGACAACCACTAGTAAAGGTACCAATGACAACCACTAGTAAAGGTACCAATGACAACCACTAGTTGGCAACAAATTATAACTCTAATAAAGGTTAATAAATTTATTTAATCTAAAGAAAAAAATTTGTGCCACTCTGGCAAAAATGAAAATAAAAACCCAAAATTTAGAAGAAAAAAAAAACATAAATCAGCTAAAATAATTTATATAATTATCTTAAAATTTCAAGTAACGACATGTAATTTAAAAAAAAAAAAAAAATCAACATACGAAAAGAAAGAACAGTCACAATAAACATAAAAAGAGGTGTTAGTATTTTTTCATGTAAATTATCCACTCGTGTTGCACAGAATCCAACGAAGAAGCACCACATCCAGAGCCCAAGGTCGAATGAGGACAGTGGAACAGCACTCTGGAAGAGTCCAATTCCACACCAAAACCGTCGCATAGATGACGAAGCAGACGACAGTTCCGTATTTAGAACAAGGTGCAAAAGGAGTTTCGTTCGGGTGGAAGCTTACGGAGGAGCTTCTCGTAAAGCTAAGCGAGTCAGAGCCAGAGCCACTTGGCGACGCCGCGGTGGTACATGTGGGTGATGCTCTCCTCGGATTGCTTCGTTTCGCTTCGATCCCGTCTTATGGTTTTGTGGACGATGAAGGACGTCACAGCCCGCGTTTCGGTACCTTTGATAACGTCCCCCCCCCCACCACACTGTGGTACTGGATTTGGGTTTTAAGCCCACAGTCCGTAAGGGATGTTTCGGTCCCAGCCCATCGCCAAACTCGTATGTCTGCATTTAAGGGGAGCTGCGCGAACATTCGGACACGAAGCGCCTGAGGCATCGACTGGGACTTTATCTAAGATTGGAATCGGAGAGGAGGTTACGCGACCGCGCAGCATGAAGACGTCCGACGTGCTCGTGAAGGCGCTGGAGAATGAGAATATTGAGTGAGTGAGAAGGGTGTGGGTTGATTGTGTTTGGGACTCTTGGGATTTTTTTTTTTTTCCCCCCTTCGTGATTTCTTGGGTCCGTCTCGATTTGATCTCTCCCAAATTTGTTTCTTAGTTTGGTATTTGTTTGTTGAAATGGGCTGCATGAAGTCGCTTTTGGAGGAGCGATGGTTTTTAATAATGTGCTGGGAATTGTCTGTGAGTAGTTAATTTTTACTCCATCCTTTGTAGTTGAAAAATCAACTCGTGCTTGGGTCACTCTAATCTTTGGGTAAAAGTTTGCTTTACTGGGAAGCGTAGTGTAGCACAGTCTATCAAGTGTGAATCAGTGAGGGGAGGGACATGCCCAAGCAGCAGTCAATGGCTTGCATCGCATTTAGTCTTGGCAGGAGTACGAAGAAGCTCACCTTCAGAAAGGGCCGATTGTATTTAATCTGCTATGCGATCATGTTAATTTGCAGGTTTCCTTGATTATATGGACTACACGGTAGTTGAGATTGATCGATCATTACGTCTTTTCGTGATGTGCGTAGGTACATATTTGGAATACCAGGAGAGGAGAATCTGGATTTTCTTGACTCGTTGCGAGGTTCGAGTATAAAGCTGGTGGTGACGCGCCATGAGCAGGCTGCAGGATTCATGGCTGCCACAGTGGGCCGCCTCACTGGAAAGGCTGGCTGTTGCTTGTCTACTCTTGGCCCAGGTGCTACCAATTTTGCTACAGCAGCTGCATATGCTCAGCTAGCTGGGTTCCCCATGGTGATCATCAAAATTCTCTTCTGAGCTTCACTGCATTATTTAATACTTAGGCTAACGATTTATACCTTATCTTTGAAAGAGCTGACATTCTCAGATGCTGGAGACGTGGCAATTGCGGCCTTTGTAAATGAGGTTTTGTGATTTGGGATTAATCGTTTAAGGTTGTTCGGAATCGCAACCAGATGATGATCACTGGGCAGAAGCCGATTCGGAAGAGTAAGCAGGGCTCCTTTCAGATTGTGGACATTGTGGAATGCATGCGTCCGATGACGAAGGTAAGTTATGAACCATGTATGCACAAGAAGCATCTAGTAGTGGAATTGAGAATTTTATCATGGGATTTGATATAGTCCTCCAAACCTTGAAGTGGATGTAATCGTCAACGTAGTGTGCAGTCTCGGTGCGGGGCAATAACAGTGATCATTTGCAAACAGTTTGCTAAACAAATCGTGGACGGAGACTTGGTGCCTTCATTAGTGAGGGAGGCTGTTCGAGTCGCAGAAGAAGAGCGACCTGGCGCTGTGCACTTGGAGTTACCTGAAGATATTGCAGGAACAGACACGGATGCACATCCATTTCCTGTTTATCCAGTCAGACGGCCGATTGCTGAAGATAAAGCAATCAACAAAGCCATTGAAATGATCCACAATGCTTCCCATCCTCTCCTCTTGATTGGAGCAGGTGCTAATCGCAAATTAACACAGAAAATGTAAGTGAAATCGTATCCAGTTCAGTTCTACTTGTACTTTTAGTATTTCTTTTGTAAAAGGTGAATGTTGACTGTGATATTTGTAGCAACATTATGTGTGAGTTTTAATTCCCGAACCGGCTCCGTGATGGATCTTGCAGGCTTAGGGAGTTTGTAGATCAGGTGCACATACCTTTTGTGACGACTCAAATGGGCAAGGGTGTTGTGTCTGGTATGATTTGAACCATGCGTAACATTTTTCATTGAGTTTGTATCATAGATTGCGAAATTTTGTGTCGTGCCCAGTTGTTTTATATTCAAATAGTTTATTCTTGAAGCATAAAACAAACACAGCAGAATATTAATAATTATTTAAAAAAGTGCAGAATTTCGTATGGCATCTGACTTGGCTTGAGTCGGTTTCTTCAGATGACCACCCGTTGTATTTAGGGTGCTGTGCACTATCAGCGAAGGACTATGTGCACGTGTGCATTGAGAAAGCTGATTTGATTATCAATGTTGGCCATGACGTGGTTGAGAAGCCTCCTTTCTTGATGAAGTATGAGCCTCACCTTTCAATTTTCGCAATCGACTAGTTGAGGAGTAGCGATGATTTTACCAATTAATACTGAAATATTGAGTGACTGAATGAACTCTGCTTGACGATCCCTTGACGGCCTATAATAGTTCTTGTGCCTTGATATACTGATTGAGTTATGGGGGTTTCGTGCTTCAGATTTGGTGAACCTCCTCTAGTTATCCACGTCAATTTCTACAGCGCAAAAGTGGACAACGTCTACTTTCCGCAGGTTTGATGACATGGCCCTCTTCAGTACATAAATTTAGAATCTTCTCAAAAATAATGAACGTATAGCTGTATCTTTTCGAACTACGTTGTTGTTGAGAAGTTTCTAATGTTTTAAGAGAATGCATAGTGCTGTTCCAGTGTTCTAAATCCCTGGATATTAAACTTTGTGATTCTTGCTCCTCAGTTGGAAGTGGTGGGCGACATAGCGAATACAATCTGGAAATTCAAGGAGCGCCTGAAGAATCAACCTTGTTGGGACACTTCTTTCATGTTGGATGTACTGCTGACTTAGCCCTGCGCCTCTTTCACTTTTAACTGATGATGTTTTATTTAAGAAAATATAGCAGCCTTTTTATAGTCAATCTTACGCCTCTGAGACTGAAGCTGAGGGTGCGGTTGTGGGAATGGCAGGTGAAAAAAGAATTCGAGGCACACATGTTGAAGGGTGTTGATGACCCTCGTTTCCCACTTGTACCGCAGCGAGTAGTGGCAGATTTGCGGTATGTATATAGGAGAAAATTTCGAAATGTTTTTTCTTGGGTTCATTTTTTTGAGTTAGCAGAAAGTTCTCCATTTAGTCTCGAAGGTACGTATTTGGGCTTTCCTACTGGCAGTTAACGATAATGAGACGAACGGTCACATTTGCGAAATATGATGACGTCCTTTTGCTGCAGAAAACAAGTCCCTCATGATGGCATCGTGTGCTTGGACAATGGTGGGTGAACGGATGTGGTTCAAACGTTAACTTGGATTCTTTAAAATCTTCTCAGTTTATTGATGTGCTTCTCTTAAAACACCTCATGTATCTGTGAGGTTTCTAAACCAAGAGTTATTGACGATTTCAATCTTCAACTTGTGATAGGTATGTACAAGATCTGGTTTGCTCGGTGTTATAAGGTAGTTATTATCTCTGGTTCATACTTTTTTATAACTTCAGCGCTTGTGCTAGTCTTGTTGATGTCAATCGGTTCTGGTATATATCTGATTATTGCAACTAGCTCAATAGAGAAAAGTGATACGAATCGTGGAAATTGCGGATGGCATCTGTGTGAGTGCAGGCATATGAGCGGAATACGTTGCTTTTAGACAACGCTCTTGCAAGTATGGGTGCTGGACTTCCATCAGCAATGGCAGCGGCGATCCTTCACCCAGAGAAGAAGATTGTTGCTGTTTGTGGTGACGGTGGATTCATGATGAATTCACAAGTAAGTTGATGCTGTTCGCGTCATGGTTGATTTCAAATGATATGGAACACTGCAGTGCTTACTGTCACCTAGTCCACATCAACATGCTTTCTTTTAGTGTGTCTCTCAGGTTATAAGCTGTTTGTTCCTAAGATGTTTTTATAATCACCAATCTTGTGCTTTGACAATGGAATAGATGAACTAGGTGCTTCAAGATACTTGGTAGCTCATACAGGATTCAGACGAGCCTTGTGAAGTCTGACATAGCCTTGTCTTTTGTAGGAGCTGGAAACATGCGTTCGATTGAAACTGAATTTGACAGTCTTGATCCTAAACGACAATGCTTACGGCATGATTAAGTGGAAGCAAAACCTCGTCGGATTTGAGAAGTGCGTCAGCATCAATCTTTGCAGAGAGTCACCAATTCCTGCTTGTATTGTTGAAACGTTTCGAATGAACAGTAGTACTAAGCACCAAAAGGTTCAGGGCCTGTCTCTTGTTCTCACTTTGTGCGGTATGTGCAGGTTTGGTTTGAACCTCGGAAATCCAGATTTTGTCGCATACGCAAACAGGTGAGTGATTATTGAACACACCCAGTCAAACACACGATAATGCTGGTGCAAGCATGGAATCTATCCGTATGGTTTTGCAGCTGTGTGAAGTCGGTGTTTCTTACCCACATGATTCGTAAAATTTTTATCTGTTCAGAAAGCCTCTTTTTATGTGATTGAGGAGTTGCATGAATGGGAAACAATCATTTATTCAGATTGTCATTGCTCACTTTTGGACTCTGACAGCTATGGCGCAAAGGGATACCGAGTGACAAGTGCTGACGAGTATTCCAAAATACTACATGAGTGCTTGCATGGCAACCACGAGGGTGTGAAAGTTGTTGAGGTAATTGTTGCATATCTTGCCTATTAGCCAGCTTAGAGGAATATTTTCTCAAATACGATGTTTGATTTTTCAGCTTTCAACCTGAAACTGATAAAACTTTGTTTGTTCAAAGAAGGTAGACAGGGTTGCATCTGAAGGTGTTTCTGCTTGCATTAACAGGATTTTTGTATTGCTTCTTACCGTAGTTCATGGGTTGAGATGTGGAATCAAGACACTCGTTTAAAAGTATTTCATAATTTTAAAATCATGAATCGGTGCAGGTGCCTGTGGACTACACATGGGCAAATGAAATACTAGACCATGAGTTGCCCAAGTTGATCCAGAAACGTAAATCGCAAGAAGCTTCTCAAACGGTCAGCTCCGAAACTGTGCCTTAAATATGCTTCCAAGTGGGGTTTTTATGTTTAAAATTTATTTTATGTATTGCTTTGTTTTAGAATATGGTTCACGGTTTCAGTGATCCCCATAATCTCACGACAATTTTGACTTGAACAGGGGATTTCAAAGGCTCTTGCAAGCGCATCTCCCAATGCTGTCTGAATGATGTGGGCTGTGGCTCAGTTGAAGATATTTTAGCGTTTAGGATTCGGTGGTTTCAGATGCATTCAGAAGCAGGTGCTAGAAATGGTGTTTGAATAAGAGAAACAATTAGTTGTACTATATAGTGAGTTCTCATACATCAGTTGTAATGATCGATAGACTTGAGGATTATTATACTTTGTTCATATAGATCGCCGACGACTCCTCGGGTTGAAGAGAACGTTGTGTGTCCTCGAACACAAACAAAAACTCTATTAGTTTATAAACCATAAGATGATTTTATCTTCCCTAGAATTTTTTAAAAGAATTATTAAGATGTTTGTAAATTTTTTCGAAATCTCTTGTTTAACCAATTATTAAGAACACATACCAAAAACATCAACTTTTATAATTCAATCTTTTGACACTTGTGAGTAGAATCGTGTAGTAAGTATTTAATAATGTTAACTTTTTCTTATTACCATTGTGTCTAGAATCAAGACATTTAAAGTCATTTCCTCCTTCAATTCTTTAAAAATGAAACACGAATGCTGAATTGTAAATATTAATGTCTATGCTTTTATTATTAATATTAAGATTTATGCTTATCTTATCTTATCAAATAATCTTTTTCATATAAATATTTTATAATGTTAATCTAATTTTTTTAAAACAAAAATCTTATTACCAACTTTTTTTATATAATAAAAAAAAGCTTAGACATGGTGCATTTCGATATAATAAAATTCTAATTCTATTATGATTAATGACAACTTGAAAAAAATTACTCGATTTTTTTAATTATTTATTATTTCTTTTTGTAATTACTTGTTACACATTTTCAAATAAACTTCTACTATCTGGTAGTAATTATGCTTGGCTTATTTATGTGTGTAGCACGAATCATTGTAAATATTATCTATCACAACAAACTCAAGAATTAGATCAATGAAAAAATTGGAACACACCTTGCAAGACACAATTTTTGTCACAATCTTCATTTTGTATCCTTCAAAAAAAACTAAATCCATGTTCTTGCTATGATAGGAAAGTTTTCCAGCCACCCATTCTCTCCCCCCCTGGTGCCCCTTAATCAGCCTGTTCACCTCCATATATGATTCACAGCAGGCCCATCTGATCCATGGCTTGGACGATGATACCCGGAACTAGACTTGACACCGCAATTCAGTTCCCCTCATGAAAAAGGATAGTCATAGCCACCGACTTCTAACCACTATCCATAATCTTGTATTTAAAATGCAACATCAACTCCTCACTGGCAATGAAACTCTACAACCTGTAGTGCAGATGTGATTCCACCACACAACATGTGTTCACTGAAAGTGTGATTCGTTCCAAGTACTAGTTGCAATTGAGTTGTGAGGATCCCCCCACATGTTTCACGCAGAGGCCACTCCAGTGTAGTCTAGATTTGAAGTCGGAGAATCTGAGAGGGTGCCTGGTGAAACCGTTGTCGAACCCTGGAAACGATTGATCACATGTCGACGATGTGAATACTTCACGGAGTGTTTAGGGTTTGAGACCCTCGGGGTGCCGAACTCACCACCGTCAATTGTCCCGGTAGGTGTTCATGTCAGTGTGTCTGAGTGTGTCGATGTCAGGTATCTCTGTCTACCTGACACACTGCACATGAGTTTTCGTAGCGGTACACACAAGCCTCTCCATGATAGCAATTATTACATTTTGGTTGACGCGTTCCGCAAGTCCTAGTTGACTGTTGCACTGTCAAGGACGCTGTTGCCACCACACTGAGGCTGGAACACAATAATTTGTGATCTGATCGATTGATCAGTAATTTCTGCATTCCAGGGCCTCGTGTTATCGAATTGGTACTCGATTCAGCCTTCCATAGGGGACTGCAAGAGCGAAACAGTGTAGGCGAAAATTTCAGTACATGTGGTTTTTACCCACAAGAACAGATGCGTGATGGAGGATTAGAATAGATTGGAGTTCATGTGGATGTGCATCAACAGGGGGCGTTTTTAATCGTTTCCCACATGGGTTTAGACATTAACCGCTGCTGTGTATAAGTTGTCATTGCAATCCTGCAGCTCTGGTTACCGCCTTGGACGCGCTTCAGTAGATTGCAAGATCAGGATCATGTAATTATCATGTAACTTTGCAAGTCCCAATCAAGACATTTTAGACCTGGGACCATTGAAAGCCAGTGGGTGGTCGTACTTTGAGCATGAGTAAGACCAGCACAGCTTTCCGTTCCTGCACCTGTCAGCATTCGGCGGTTTCCATCCTTCTTTGTGCAACCCAAGGGCAATGATCTTTGCATTTTTCACACTTTTCCTTGTGCGCGGAGGTTCAACATTCAGTCAATGATGGTGACTGGTTTGAACTCACGCCTCCGCCTTACTTAGACGGCCTGGCAGTCCTCGACTCAAGACGCTCAAGATGCCATTCGCAGTGAAGCATCAAACAAATCCACGCAATGGGCGGCTTCTACACAAAAGGTTAAGAAGTGTAACGATCAGATGCTCTTCAATCCTCGGTACTGTAAAGGATTGCGCTTAAGTCGTTTCTCGTATTTTGGGAAGTTTGAAGCTGCTGAGTACCTGGTGTCTGCAATCGAGCGTAGCCACAATGCAGTCAAGGATTGAAAAATTTGTAGAATCTTACACGGGTTTGATCCCCTTGCTCGTGAAGGTGGTGATCTGAGGAGAGAGCAGGGTTTGAGAAACTAGGTGTGGATCGCAGTTCCAAGAGAGGATGGCGAGGCCTTCTGGCAACCAACTTTGGGTTCGGTTCGGCCTCTATGCGGAGGCGGCGGTGGAGAGTTCGGCACCCAAAGGTTCACAAACTACCAACACAACGAAACTACTCCCGAAACACTCCGTAAGATATTCACATCGTCAACATGAACGCTCATGGCAGTCGGACATCCGATCTATCGTTTCCAGAGTTTGACAGAGGTTTTACAAGGCTCCCTCTCCGCTTCTCTGGCTTCAATCTAGACCGCTTGTGAGGCCTCTGAGTATAATGGATAGTGGTTAGAGATCGGAGTCTAGGGGCTTCCCTCTGCTTCAGGGGTATCGAAGAGCTAGGTTGATGCACATCACAGATATGGCCGTCAAAGCCATGGATCAGATCGGCCGGCAATGAATCACACTTGGGGTGGACAGCCTATTGTAATATAGAATCTGTGTTGCTTGAAAATATGAAGAACCAGATTAACTCCGAAAGCATGAGTCCTACTGCATTTACTAATCGTGCCGCAGTGGTCGGCCGACAGTTGTATGGAATTCGTGTCAACAATCACTACGCCTAGCAATTTGCACGCGATACTGGTCCTACCACTAAGCTGACTCATTCCGAGATGAATTGCGGATATATACTTAGCCTCAGATGGTTGTCACTCGTCAGTCTACCAATGCAGATACGTAAAGAATCCTAGTTTGAGAGTGGGTATGAGTGCAGGCTTCGGCAGGCTTATCACTGATCTGGAACAACACATAGAAACCTCTAAACCTCTGATAGGTTTCATGTTGTAGACGACACTTCATGTAGATCCATTTCGAAGAGTTGCTGAACCAGAGTTTTCACAAGCCGTATGAGGTCTTGCTTTTTCCGATTTTGTTTAGCCCATCCATACTTGGTGTTCTGTTTATCTACTTATTTGTTTATTTAGAGAGTTGTTAACTCAAAATCCCAATTTGATATTGCTACACCCTTAGTGAACTCCTAGTAGATAATTAATTCATAATATAATATGTTTCTTTCTTTTGAGCATTATTATTATTATTATTATTATTTTAATTGGTTTTACTAAAGGATGGTGGTTTAAAAAGATAGTGAATACTTTATGATAAAACAAGTTACAAGTTGTTTGTTTGTTTATTTTTGTTTTTTTTAATTTTAAAAGCAAATATTTGCCTCAAATGTTCTTTAATTCAAAAATATATTTTTTTATTTGAATTTAAATTTAAAAAATATAGATTTTGGATTCCAAATATATATATATATATATATATATATATATATATGGATTAATATCAAATTTAAATATTGACTTGTCAAACATGCCCTAAGTGTAGAATTACACTTCCTAATCAATTTAAATCATACAGAGGTTCTATGGGATCTGACAATATTAATTGGAGATGTATCATTAATAATTCTTTTTGTTTATTTATTTAAAAAAATTCCATCATAATAAATACCATCATTTTTAGATAAGTCTTGAGTTTATTTTTGTATCATATTATATCATGTTGTTTTGTAAGAAGATGCATGTGACTGCTCATGAAAAATATTACTTTTACTTCTAAGAAACAAAAAGTTATATTTTTATTTTTGAATTAATATTTATCTTGTTTATTTATTTTATTTAATCAATAAAAAAAATATTAATATTATTATCATATATTATATTTTTCTACTTAATATAGATAGAATAAAGTATACTTATTTGGTAGTAATAATTTTTTTCCTGAATATGTTACAGACATATATATCAAATCAACTATGGACTTTTGTTTCTATGGATTTTATCATAGAACTTCTAATTTTACGTTTTATAACTCTATATTTGTGATAATAGATTACTTCACAAAGATAGTATATTTTATATTATGTACAAAATCTATTATAGATAAAAAAAAACTTTTTTTTTTTTAATATTTACTCCTATTATAGATTGCCAATGGATATTATATCAAATGAGAGTACCAAATTTGAATTGAGATTTTGGAGAATTCTTTTCAAGATATTGAAGGAAACATAAAACTATATTTAATTTTCTATTCTTAAATTGATGAAAAAATAAAGTAGGTTAATAAAGTTATAGAACATTATTTGAGATGTATCATCAATTACTATCAAGATGATTGAATAACTCTTTTGCTATTAGGAGAATTTTTCTATAATAATATAATATATATTTTTACTCAATAAATATCTTTTTATACTAATTATGGTTATTATTTATAATTTGATACTTTTGACTTTTCAAAAGTTTATAATCTTTTGGTAGAAGATTTGAAAATTTATTTCTTAGAGCTACATGCAACAATAAAGGCACAATTACAAGAAATTCAAGTATATCAAAAGATCAATATAGATGCCTATTACAAGAAACAACTTCAATTCCATGTTAGCAAAAATATATAATTACTTTATTATAATATTAAGTCTATTAGCTTTTGTGATAAGTTAGATTACCATAGACTTAAATTATTTTTTATTCATAAATAATTCAATTCAATTGCATATCAATAATACTTACCAAAGTCTATAAAGATCCATTATATATTCTATATATCTCTTTTGAAGCATATAAGAGAGTAAATATATCAAATAATAGATAGATATTACTTCTTTTAATAAAAGTAGATAATAATCAAGAAATTTAAATAAAAGAGGTTTTAAATTCAAGGCATCACCAAAATAGGTTGAAATATCTTATGCATTATTGGAAATATAATATTAGTGAACATACATGGGAGTCATCTAAAAATCTTGTAAACATAGCAAAGAAAAACAATGCTTTTCATAAATATGTATTGAAACTAAAATAAAGAGTTAAGCAATTCTTTACTATAAAACAAATAAGATTTAATAAATATTACATTCTATCTTCTATCTTTGTTTGTCATTTCTTTATATTTATAGAAATATAGAGATAGAAAATCAATAACTAATAAATTTAAATTAAGAGCTATTTTTTGCTAAATTATAGGATGATGCATTGAGATTGTCATATTATTTAAAACAATGTAATAGAGATAAAGATCTTCAAGAATAACATGCTCTTTCTTAAATAGATGGCAAAATATAATATATTTAATATCATGACCTTAGAAGAGACTTTGAATTTTTGATAATATTATTCAAATTATAAACCATTGTTAATGGTATTTCAAATTTTTAATTTGAAAGAAATTATAAAGACCCCAATAATGATTAAATAACAAGATAATTTTCTTGTCCTAATCTAAGACACAATTAATGGCTAAGAGGATCTCACAATTACTTTTGAAGGAAACAAAGATCAATATATGTAGCAAATACAATTTTTTATATCTTGGACTTTGTCAATACATGATTATTGCTCTTTATAGAAATTGTTCCTAGAAATGGAGGTAATATCATGGACATACATATTTATCTAAATTAGAAGAGTTAGATAGAAGTAGGTAGAAATATATATTAATAATATCTTATAAATAAGCTCCTTAGAAGCTTTATAAATTCAAATTTTATTTTATACATGTTTTTAGGTAATTAGTAGATTGAAGACATGGCTGACAAGTTGGCCATGTGTCACACATATTGACTATTTGTGGTACAAGTTGTCCATATTGCATAAATATGAAAAACTTGCCTTGAAAGTTAGACATGTGCCTTATAAGTTGAATATGTATTGGAAGTTCTATTAAACACTACTACATAGCTTTTCGTTAGATAGTATATATAAAAGAAAGAGTGAGATCTTTTTCACTTTTATCAATTCTTTTCTTACTTCTAGTCTAGTTTCAAAAGTCTTTAGTTTTTTAGTCTTTGGCAATAGCCATTTCAATTTCTTCTTAAATATACTTACTTATTTAAAAAAAAATTGTCATCTCTCTTTAATACACATCTTACTTATTTACATACATTTTTAGAATTCTTGTCTTTGACATAAAGTTGCAATAGAAACAAAGGCATTATTATTTGTGTCTCTCCTTTGAGCATCAATAATTTAAAGTATGTTGCACTCTTACTTTGTATTGAAGGTAGAAAAGGGAACAAAGATGTAATATATTTGGAATCTTATTTAATAAAAATTCAGGATTTCATGTAAACAACTTTCAAGAGATTTAGTGGATTCAATTCTCAATTTATTAGAATTATAGTTGTAAATATAATTAATTAAATATTAATTTTTTTTATTGTATATTAATTTTTTATGCATATATAATTTTGTGTTTATTTTTTCTTAACACTTTACATTATCAACCATTTTTTTTTTTCAAAATCCACTTTTAATCTAAAAAATTAAAACTTTCTAATTTTTCTATACATATAATATATATAATATATATTCTCTCTATACTATGTAAATACATAGTTTTTTATGTTATCTTTTAAATTTTTTTTTATTAAAACTAAAATTTCTATGATTTTTTAAATATTAAAATATTTATTTTTAATTTCTAATATATTCTTATATACAAAATTATTATTAATATATGAATTTAGAAAAAATATTAATAAAATATTGTGATTTTTAGTAGTAGATTCTAATATAAATAGATAATAATCATAATTTCTAAAAGCCAAAAATTATAAAAATTAAATAAATTTTATGTCTATTTAAAAATATAAAATTATGATATTTTTTTATTATATATATATTGGAATTTATTTAAATCTTTAATCAATAGTTTTTAAAAAAACTTTTCTTATTTATTTATTAATATTTTTATGCTTGCAAAGAAAAAAAATGTTTTATAAAGTAATTTTAATAATTTTATATAATTTTTTAAAAATGATGTAATGCCTAAAATACATTTTAAACTAATAAAGTTTTAAAAAAATACATACTTATATTTTGAAGAAATTTGGTTGAAATAATATATTTTTATTTAAAGAGAATGTTAGCATCTAATTTTTTTTTATTAATACCTAATATTATTAGCATCTAATTTTAAGAACTAAGAAAAAATAATTTTAGAAATAAAAAATTGTATCGCAGATTGTAAAAAACTAAAAAAAACTTTAATAATAACCAATTGTAAAGAATTTTTATTTTTAGAAAGAAATTAAATCAAATACAAGATTTATAGAATGTATTGGATACTAGGCATAAGTTTAAATACATCATAAATTTAATCTGCATATTTTTTTTTGATGAATATAAACTTTGTAATTAAATTTTATGATATATTTAAACTTGTGAGGATTCACTTTAAGTACTCTGCATATTTCTTCATTAAAAAAACACTTTCTTTACTAGTTTTGTTGCCATCAACAAATCCTTCAAATCTCTTAGTGTCTAATGGATTGCAATTCAAAAAGTCACACAAAAACACTAGCACCATTGAAGCATCAAATAACACAGAAATTTCAGTCGTTTTCAGTTAAGACTCTACTTTGTTCAATGTAAAAGATAGCACTAAAAAAATTAAAATTAAAAATCAAAACCCGATTATGCACAAATAGAAATAATGGCACATTTGCAACAAGAGAAAAACCCACCCACACGATAATTTCGTCCAAAAATGTGTAAATAAAATCAACTATTCATGAACCTTCAAGAATGTAAATTGTGTTGTATGATTTGCAAGCCTGTGACTTGTGTCTCTTTGGAATAAATACTTGATCCCAGACTATTCTTTCTCGGCAAACCTTCATGCGTATGAATGTTAAGCTTCTGAAGAAATGCTGGGAAATCATTTCTTTTAAGAGAATAGCGCTTGGGATCAATTTGAATGTAATACCCCCTTATAATCCAACATGCATTTCCACCAGAATTATATCTTTGTGGCGCAACAAATCCCAAGCCTGATAAAATGCTAGTGCGAGTTGCAGCTACTGATGGAAGTGCACTTGACCTGAATCGTCAGCTTCAGAAACTCAGTACCAGTCAAG